GTGAGGGGTAATTCAGTTAGTAGTGACCTTGCTTCACATGCATGGTTCCCAGGTTCCAGCTCCAGTACAGTCTAAACTGGGTGCGATAAGGGCAGCCATGAGAACCCAAGACTTGAAGGTGGAAGCAGGGGCATCAGAAGTTCAAGATCACTTCTGGCTACATAGTTCAAGGCTAGCCTGGGATACATAAGACCCTCTCTCAAAAGAATTATCATGAGCCAGTTTGAGAACAGAGGCACCCCAACCTCTGTACAACAGGACACCGATGCTTCCTTGTCCACCACTGCACAAAACCAAGACTTAGAGAAAGGTTATAGACCCAAAGTCACCAGGCAAGGCAGCCACAGGTGCAGGACTTTTGGCCAGAGACCCCAGAACCCAATGGGAGTCTCTCTGCTCTATGACATCTTAAAGCCCTTACTTGCATACGTTGACATTTGTGATCCACCAGATCTCTTTGTTTTCTCAGTTTTTTCTCTTTCTCAGGGAAGAGTAGGAGGGAGAATGTTGAAAGGTTTCTTGCTCAGGGTCACATCGATTCATTTGCCACCGTGTTCCTATTGCACCACCAGCCGCCTGAGAGCGGAAGGTGTTCTGTACTCACGGCTGAGAGAGTAAATCTCTGACTTAGATGTTAAAGCATGGGGAGAAGGGTTTAGCAAGTGCCTAACCAGAGATGTTACCTATCCAGGGAGATGTAGAGACTTAAAAAAAAAAATGAACGGCACACAGTATATCCTCAAAATACTTGGTGGATAATTGAGTCTGGCAAAGTCTCAGATCAAAGGAGCACAGGAAGACGCTACAGACACTTCCAGCCCTCTAAGCTTCTAACTATACATCTCATTCTGACCATTAATTGAAATTATTACAGTAGCTCACACGTTCATTGGTTCCTTCATCCATTCATTCAGGAACTCAGATAATACTGATTGACACGAGTGATATGCCAGCTCTTGTGTTCAGTGCCATGGATTCAGAAATAAAGCACCAGAGTCTAGTCAAGGATGAGAAAACCCATAGCAATCGTATTTTGTGTGCCTAAAAGCTGCAGACACAAGGTGCTTGGTCGGGGGTGGACTGAATGTGGGGGGGCATGAGAGTTAAACAAGGCTGTAGTGGGTAATCGGGGGGGGGGGGACACACCAAAGAGAGGTATCCAGGCAGAGACAAAAGCACACCGAGTCATAGGTGGGCAGCAGAGGGATCACATGACGAGGGAAGTGGCATTCGGCACAGTTGGGAAGTCAGGAGGTGAGAGGGGAGGCTGGCAGGGTGTTATGGAGCAGCCCTTGAAAGAGTCATCCGCCCTCCCTGCAGACAGAACCTGGCAAGACTTAGTACACGTGTCACCCACCCAGCAGTCTGGATGAACCAGAGACTCAGTCTAGTGAAGAGATGGTATCTGCATTTCTAAGGAGCCCTTAAGCGATCCCTGCTGCAAACGGTCCCTGAGCCCCTTAGGCAGTAGAGCTGTAGGCAGTGAGGTGTATATATTAGACACAGTTCAGCAGGAGAATTACAAAGGCACAATTTGGCAAAAGTTACATTTGCCAAGAACTCTGTAGCAAAAAACAGGGGATGGGTGAAGAAAGGTGATGCCAAAGCTAAGTATGCGGTGGTAAAAACATAAACAAATGAGGCGTCTTGACTAAGGAAGAGAGGGGAAAGAGTTGAGCACATTGGCTGATAGTCTTTGGAGTCAGAGCAAATTTCTCTCCTCAAGGAAAGGCTGCTGATGAGGGGGACGTGAAACAATGAAGCATGGGCACACCCCACCCAAATCAGAATTCCGTGGACTGATCTGCCACACCTTCCCTGGGACATGGCTGCATCGTCGTGAACCTCACTGACACCCAGCCGAGGTTGGCCAGGTCTTAAAGGACAAGCATCATGCCTGCATAGGATTTCCACGCCAAACAGGTAAAGCCAGGCTTTGTAGCTCTCGCTGGACATGTGGCTCAGGGAATCTCAGGAAGAGCAAGAAAGTTGTGGAAGACAACACAGATGTCCACTAAATCCCTGAACAACATGTCTATTTAAAAAATAAAAATAAGATAAAAAGCACGGTTGTGTCAGCGAAAAGCACCTATACTGTTGCTAGCACCCTCTCTATCTACCTTGCTATATTGTTAACTTGAAAACTAGTTAAAACACTTGTGGTAAAGGTCTGCACAGCGGGGAAAAGGCAAGTCAGAGCACAAATATGTCCCCTTCATCACACAGAAGCCAAAACACACCACCCCCAATGAAATACTCCTCCAAAGAAAACAAGGGTCACGCTTTGTGTCTCATGTTCTTTGCTGGATCACTATTCTCCAGCCAAAGACACGCTAGCTCAAAACAACCAACCAGAATACCCTCTGGCCACCACTATTTACCCAGACAATCCTTAGCCCAACGAATCTCCATAGGGCATACAAGTTGAGAATAGGCAGCCACGGCCGACAGGCACCCGTCCATCTGCTTTTGAGTAGCTAGCCTCACATCCAAAGAGACAAAAAACCCGCACAAGCACCTACCTTCCTCTTCAGCAGTGGGAAGCCTCTTCACATCTACTCGGATATGGAAGCTCTGCCCCCAGACCTCTGAGTGGAGGCGGAACTTAAGGGCGGTCCATTCATTCAGGTAACCTGAGGAGGGTTGAGTTTCTCCAGATCAGTCTTCAGATACTCCCAGGCTTCCAGAACTCGGGGCAGAGGTGAACTGTGAGCTGTCCCTCAGTGCAGGAAGAAACTGGGAGGCACCGTGTGGCTGGAGGTGGAGGCGGAGGCTGGGAAAGGGAAGTAATCTGGGGACTGTAATAAACGAGAAATTCTCTCCACATGATTTCCTCTATTCAGTGCCTCTTGCCTCTCTCAGGCTCCCCAGAGGAAATCAGAAATTTTAAACTTGTCCTTTGGCCACTGAGAGAGGAGAGAATAAACATGCTAAGAACCATGAGAACAAGGAGAAACAGGCAACAGGCAGGGAGCTCACAGGCCAGCCGCTTTTATCCTTAGCCTAATCCTTTCTACCTGAAGTTTCTCCAAGTGTTTAATTTTGCAAAAGTCAAGAGTGCCTTCATCCTCTTCCATGCAGCTTCTGGCCATGGTCCAGACGTTGTGAGGCAGGGGAGCCAGTGAGAAACGTGTCAGCATGGGCTCAGGAAGAGGGTCTCCCTGTCCTCGGGAAAGACAAGCACTGTTCTGTTTATGGAAAGGCTCACGATGGTCTTTATTAATCATGAAAAAAATCTAGTAATTCCCAAATCGTTCTTGTGCCAGGGCTTGAAGAATTACTGGTGATCTACTACTCATAAGTTGCTGCAAGCAGGAGCCTCTCTACACGAAGTGTGAAGCTCACTGTAAGCTAAGAACGATAGGCATTCATTCAAAAGTGTAACAATTCAACATGGTGGCAACAAAGGACTCAGTTAAGGGCAGAGAGGGAGGCTCTGTGAGCACAGGGCTCAATAAAACTGCATGGGGTAAGTCACCAAGCTGATCCCAGCCATAGGAAGAAGCTGGGAATGCCAAATGAGTTGACTTCAAGAGGTTTAGACTTCCCTATTTTGCTATGTGGGGTGATGTAGAATAGAAGCAGGTGCATGGAGGAAAACGCTGAACTGGGGGTGTGAAAGATACATGTATTCGGATCTTTCTTTGGGCTGCTAGTTCATAAATAACAACATGGAGACTTCTTATTTATCATGAAAGCTCGCCTATAGTTTTGGCTGGGTACTAACTAACTCTTAACGATTTATTTTAACCTATATTCTATAATGTGGAGTTTATCTCTCTTCTATCTTGTCCCTCCTGTTTCTTCTCCATGTTTGGCTGGCAAAGCCTTCTTTCTTTTTTTCCAGACTCCTCTCTGTCCCCAGAAGTCCTGCCTAACTTCTTCCTGCCTAGCCACTGGTCATCCGACTCTTTATTAAACCAATCAGAGTGACACATCTTCACAGAGTGTACAAATATCCACAACAGACACAGCCTAAAAAGTGTCCCTTAAAATCACCAGGTGACTCCTTTCAATATCTTGGCTTCTTCTCCCTTTCTTCTTCCAGCTATGAGGGAAACTGTCCTCAAATACATGCTCCATGATATGTTCCCCATAATTAAAATCTTGTACTACCTTAAGCAGAAAAGCGTAACATTCCACCACGACACAGAATAACATCTCCTGCTTTACCTCAAGGATTCCTTCTCTGCACCTCCTTTTTCTCCCTCCTTCCCTCTCTCTCTTCTCTGATGAGTTACTCCATGCAGAATACAGACTCCTTCCTTGCTCCATGTCCTTTGACTCTCATAGTCCCCAGAGCAGGTTCTCTAACAACCCAACTCCTGGCATTGTTCCCTACAAACTATGATCATTGTCCTCACAACTCCCAAAGACAGAAAACCTCCCCCACCCCGGTCCCCCACTGCTGCCATTTCTGTTGCTTTCTGACGTATGGATCATATCCTAGGGACCCACAACTCAGAAATATTTGGTTTCTATAAGTTGAGCATTACTGGGAAGAATATTTATAAATTACCATCACATACAATCTTTGTGAAAGAAAGAGGAAGAGAAAATGCAAGAATCAGAAGAAAACACACAATTGCTGTTAGGGTTTTACAGCTTAAACTCTGGCTGATGGAGTGCAGTTTCTTCATGGGAAACATTACTGGTTTTTCATGTTTACTAAAATGCTATGGTTTGTCATGTCCTTGCAGACTGTGTTATGAATAGGTGATGGCCAGTCGTCAGAAAATGATTCTTTAGGAGTTATATATGCTGGGGCTGGAGAGATGACTCAGTAGTTAAGAGCACTGCCTTCTCTTTCAGAAGACACTGGTTCAATTCCAAGCACCCACATGTTGGTTCACAATGATTTGTAACTACAGTCCCAAGAAGTTTGACACCCTCTTCTTACCTCTGTGGAGAGACCAGGCATACACATGATGCACAAACATGCATGCAGGCAAAACACCCATGCAAAAATAAACAAATAAAAGTTTAAAGTTAGCTATGCCTCTCAGTAACGAGACACTCACATGTCTTACCTTCTACCCTCAACCCAGTTTAAAAGACAAGGTGAACACAGTTGAGCTGGCTTGGGGAGAAGAGGAAAATATGTTACAGAAGGAAATGTCTTGGAATTATCCCAATTTTCATCTAAAGGACAAAGAAGAATCAGCATTTCTTGAAACACAAGCTCAGCTATTCTTTTTCCAGGTCTGAGGGAAAAAAAACAGGGTTCAAGCTCTGAGGACTCCAGAGGGGACTTTTCAGATCTTTTCTTGTAACTTAGCCTTCAAAAAAGAAAAGGCAATAGAGCCAGAGCGATGGATCTGGCAACTAAGAACACTCGCTGTTCTCCCTGAGTACCTGAGTTTGGCACCCACATGGAGTTGCTCACAACCACCTTGTAACTCTAGTTCCGCGTTCTTTTGGCCTCCTCAGGTCCCTCCACACATGCGGCTCACGTGTACATAAATGAAAGGAAATACAAATCTTTAAAATGTTGAAAATGTTTAAAATGTTAGAAAACATTTTAAAGATTCATCTTAAAGATGCTCATAAGGAAAGGAACTAAAGTTAGCTAGGGTGAGGGGAGGCACGGGTCATTAAAACATAAGGAGAGAAGCGGGAAGGAGGAAATGGTAGTGGGAGACTGGGAGAGAAACAATCCGGTAAACAAAGGGAAGGAGGCAGGACAAAGATGGGGAAGGCGGGAAGGAGGGTGGGGTGAGAAAAGGTTAGAAAACATTACCAGGAGACAGGAAATCAGGGGCCACCACACATCAGCGTTTCCTGTAGGGGCAGCATCAGGACAGGCTTTCTGCACTTCCGCTTCCGGCTTTACTCCTTCAGAGGCGAAGGGAGACCTGGAACACACCACAGGGGCTGCCGCCTTTTTCTTAGACCGGGGCTTTAGTAAAGCCACACAATCATGGGTCTCTTTATGGTTTAGAACACATCCATGATGGCCACCGCTGGAATTTTTAAGCATGTAAATTTGGGTTCCTTCCCTTGGCTCTCCAGGATCAAGAGGTTGCATTGTCTGTTTTACAAAGGTTGTTCGTAGCTGAGAAGCTCCACTCTGGGCTGCCTGACTAAAGCATAGGCAAGGCCAGTTCGTGCAAAGACAGTTAGGTCATGCGCACTCCGAGTAGCCAGTTTTGTGCTCAGAATTGGAAAATTTTAAAGTTTTTTGTTGGTTGTTGTTTTAATTTGTGTGTGTGTGTGTGTCCGGGAGGGGGTGCACACGCACATGTGGGGGGCCTTGCTGGAGAGGCCAGAAGAAGGGTCAGATCTCCTGGAGCTGGAGTTACAGGCTGTTGTGAGCTCTCCAATGTGAATGCTGGGCTTACATTTGGGTCCTCTGGAAGAGCAGAAAGCATTTTGAACGGCTGAGCCATCTCTCCAACCTTATACACACATATCTAAAATCAAGTAAAGGCATTGGCTAAATGAGTTATTTGCATTTTTCTTAGCCACTCCTCAGGTTGGCTCCTAGTCAGTGAGTACTATTCACGTTAAAAATGGGAGCCTCAGGAAAGACAGTGGAAGACTTCAAAGTAGAAACAAAAACAGGATCATCTTGTCAGCAGAATGTTGAGCGGCCCTAGGAGACCTTTTGGTGAGGAGGTATGATTCTATAGGGGCCTATCTTTTTTATTATCTTTCACCATTTTATAATTATTTTTATAGAAACTAGTGGTACAGTAAACAATTCTCATCTTAGAAACGGAGATTCGTTTTGTTTGGTGGAGTACAGTGTAATTGGTGTTCTCTATACAAACACTTATTCTGAGCATTATATTTTTGTTCATTATAGGATGCTGTCCAGTCGTGCATGCATTAGCAAATCCAGTTGAGCCTTTCTGATCATCTATGTATAAATATACCTGTTCTTCAGGTTTCCCTTGTGAAAATTTCAATCCCTTACATCCCCTTTTATTAATTCTCAAGATAGAGGCAACTCTGTTGTGCATTTATTTTATATTAAGGTAAGAATTCTGATTTTGCTGTTTTGAAAATGATCTTTAGAAGAAGGCAGATGTTAACCTGGATGACGGTGTGTTGTCCCAACAGTTTCCAATGGCAGGCTCTTTCCTGCAGTGTTCTGGCTGGTTTTTGATGGTCCCTGACTATCTAAACTAAAAGCAGAGAACAAACAAAGCATGTTGACCGTTAAAGTAAGATGACAGGCGGACAAGTGGCCAAATGGGAACACCTCACTCTCACCTGCTTGGGCACAGAGAAGAACCAAAGCAACAGGTGGCATTTTGAGGTCATGACTGTGGGCAAGGCCTGGAGATCAGCAAGAGAGGGACTGGAACCTTGTAAAGGGCACAGAGCTGAGCTGACAGCAGTGGAAGAAGAGAATACCCAGCATCTGCCACTCCGGCTCCACACCTCCGGGAGTTGCTCTTGTGCAGGCAGGTAGAGAATTCCAACAAGGTCCACTAGGGTAGATGTTGGCAATGCTAGCTGCGAGAAAGCATCATAATCTCCCTGGGATTATAACCCACTAGGTAAGTATCCTGATCTGCACAGGCTCTGAAATCATCATCTCCCAGTGAACCCCAGGGTGTTGTGACAAGGATTGATCTCCCCATTTTATTTTATGTGCATGAGTGTTATGCCTGAATGTAGAGCTTTACATTAAGTGGGTGCAGTACCTTCAGAGACCAGAAGAGGACATTGGATTCCCCTGGGACAAGAGTCACACACAAATGGTTGTGAGCTTCCATGTGAGTGCTGGGAATTGAACCCACATCCTCTTGCAAGAGCAGTCAGTGAGATCCCTCCTTCCCTCTCTCTCTCTCTCTCTCTCTCTCTCTCTCTCTCTCTCTCTCTCTCTCCAGGGATTTGCTTTGTAACCTTGGCTGCCCTGTAACTCACTCTGTAGATCAGGCTGGCCTCAAACTCACAGAGATCCGCCTGCCTCTGCCTCCCAAATGCTGGGATTAAAGGCGTGCGCCACCACCTCCCTGCTCAGCCAGTGCTCTAATAGCTGAATCATTTCTCTATCCCCATAAGGAGCAATCATGAACAGAGAGGAGAGAGAGCCTGAATAGATTCAAAGATGAGTTCATATGATTTTTTTCAATGCTTAGAAATGACCCCAAGATCATAAACATTCAAGAAAACACTGTCAACTGAGCCACACATCTGCATTTGCTATTGGATTTTGCAGGCTTTTAAAGAAGTTGATCCCAGTTCTTCTCAAGCCATTCCATAAAATGGAGATAAAAGGAACTTTTCCAAATTCATTCTGAGGCGAGCATCACCCCATTACTAAAACAAGACAAGGACAATAACAACAAACTATACACTAATATCCCTGAGGAGCATTGATGCAAAATTTCTCAAGCAAAATACTCACAATTCAAACTAAATAGTATATAAAAATGTCTTTCAGCATGGTCAAGTTGGTGTCTTTCCAGGCATGCAAGGCTGATTAGACATATGCAAACCAATAAGAGTAGCATAATGCATCAAAACAACAGATAAAGATTACTATCTTCTCAATAGATATAAAATGTCATTCAATAAAATCCAGCATCAAGAGACTGGGGAGGTAGCTCAATGTGTGCTATGTAAACCTTAGGACTTGAGTTTGATTCCCAGCATCCAAGTAAAGATTTGGTTGTGGTGGCTGGTGTACACCTGTTATCCCAGAAGTGGGAAACTGAGAAAGGTGAAACCTGAGGCCTTGCCGACCAGTCATTCTAGCCAACTCTTCATTGACAGTGACTTCATCTGAATAAAAAACCATGGAGAAAATGAGAGAAGATAACACCTGACATGGAACTGTGGCCTCTAGATGAGCACACATGGACATTCATACTTGCATATACATATTCATACACGCCCCCATACGCATTATGATTAAAGTCCTGAAATAAGTGTAGAAGTCCTTCAACAGAGCAAAGATTATAGATGATGTATTCAAAGCCAACACCATAAGAAAGATGAAAAGATCAAAGCGTTTCTTCCAAGATTAGTAATGACAAAGGGATTTCCACTCCTGACTCCTTTATTCTACACAGTACTAGACTAGTTAGCCAGAGCCATTGGGCAAGAGAGTGAAATTAAAACCATCCAGTTAGGAAGGAAGTCAGTTTATCCCTACAGGCAGAAGAGATGAAGGTACATACACAATAACTTTTATCAGAACTTCCGCCAAACGATTACCAATTGAGTAAAGGAAAAGAATGTAAAATCCGCACACAAACCCTGATAGGTTTTCTACATACTGACAGTAAATATACTGAGAAAGAAACCAGAAGATCAATTTCATTTGCAACAAATGCAAAAATAAATAAATAAAACACTAAGAATAAATGTAACCAAGGAAAGACTTCTATAATAGGAATTATGAAACACTGAAAAAGGAAACTGCAAACCAAAAATGAAGTACCACCCATGTTTCTGGATCAAAAGAATTAATATTTTTACAATAGCTACTGTAGGTGGAGTCTGTTCGTAGGTTTCCTGGCCACCCAAATCAGAAATATCACACAGAAGCAGTATTAATTACAACACTACTTGCCAATAGCTTATGCATATCTCTAGCTAACTCTTACATCATAAATTATCTCATTCCTATTATTTTATATTTTACCATGAGGCTCATGGTTTACCCATAAGGTTCCAGCAGCTGTACGGCATCTCTCTGACTCTGCCTTCTTTCTCCCAGCATTCAGTTTAGTTTACCCACCTAGCTCTATTCAGCCCTGCCACAGGCCAAAGCAGCTTCTTTATTAACCAATGGTAATAAAACATATTCACAGGATACAGAGGAGAATCCCATATCAGTCTACATTCAAGGTCATCCACAAATTCAATGCAATGCTTTAATTCATAAATCCTAGAATTCATATGGAAGCACAAAAGACCCTGAATATCCATAGCAATCTTGACCAAAAAGAATAAAGCCATAAACATCCAGATGTCTTGTTTCAAGATATACTAGAGAGCCACAGTGACCAGAATAGTGTGGTACTGGGCACAGAGGCAGAAACGCAGAACAATTGAACAATCATAAACTTTGGAGTAAGTGTGTCAATCCTTAGTCACCTGACTCTTAACAGTGCTACCAGAGGCTTATGCTAAAGAAAGGGCAGCATGTTGCTGGGAAGACTGGG